CCAGATTTTTTTGATCTTTATAATCTTAAAAAAAAAAACCACCTCTAGTTCAAATTAATAGTCAGATTTATTTCTCTGAATCCCCCGACTTTCTCAATCTATTATAAAAAATATTTCAAGAGCAACATTAAAAATAGTTACCTTCTCTCTTTTATTTTTCAATTCTTCCACTACAGTATCCGAACCACATTAATTTGAATATCAAGAGACACAAATTAATGTGGTGGTCCCACTATCACATGGTGCGGGACCACACACAACAAAATATATATATATATGAGAGGTTTCTGCCCTCCAGTCTCTGCGTGGAAGATTTATACCTATCTTGGAAAAATAGCATAAAGGCCTGCCCTGTCCTTGATCATATGCCAAAACATGTTTAACCACTTGGGAAGCTACTTCAAGATGCAAACATCTGATTCCCAAATTCCATAACCAATCCAGCTGCAAATCCTGCCATGAAATACCCTAAGGAAATATCCCATGCCCTATACGGATCATTCTTGCTGGTGCCACCACTGTCAATTTTATCCACCCATCAAATGGGGGAGACCGGTGCACATGAACGATAGTAGTGGGCTTATAAGATGACCTAAACCAGTGAGATATAGATACATGCACTAAGTACAAATGACATTACCAGTTTAAAAGGCAAATCAAAACCTCCAAGTTCCAATTTATTTATTTACTTCTTGATACCCTGGTAAGAGAACCAAAAACACACTGCTGCTAATAAGAACACCCTTCATACATGATGATTAGGTCAAGAACCAAAAATACACTGGTGCTAAAATCTAAGAACACCCTTCATGCGTGATGATTAGGTCACATCCTTGGCTATATAAAGAGGTCATGCAATTCTAAGAATACATTAGGTCACATCCTTGGGTATATAAATTCCTGTAGGCTCTTAATTCTCCTGTCAGCACACCTTCTCTATCCATTTACTTTGTAGCTCAGCACCTGGAATTTTTGTATTGAAAGATGATTAATTTCTATAAGCAATGGTTGTGCTTAGAATAAAGAACTCATAGTTAAATTAAAAGAGGAGTTTCACGGATCAGTAGTTAGCAGAATCCTACAAATTCTTCTCTATAAAAAAAAAAAGATTTTTGGAGCCTCGTACAACAAGAAGAGTTAATGACTATATTATCATTAATGATGTATTTTAGTCACTGAAAATATATATTTTTTAGTAATTTAAAAGTTAGAAAGTAAAGAAAAAGTGTTCTACATTAAACAGATAAATCATATAAATTCTACATCCGTGTGATTCGCTTCTTGAATAGAAAACTTTACACAGGAAATTAAACTCAAAAAATTAACAACAAAATACTAAATACATTTGATTATTCATAAAAACTACAAAGAAAAGATTAAAAAAAAGAAGCAAAATAAAAAGTTACAAGGTAGAAATGTTACCTAAATTAGGATGCTTGCTTTGGTTCGAGGTCATTATCCTTGTTTATGTTTGCACATAAGGCATCAATAATCAATTGGAGATCGTTCTTCTCTTGTTCTAGTTTTATGTTTTTTTCTTGAAGTTGAATGAGGTTTAAATTGTCATCGTTGTTAATCTTCTTAATCAGCAAATCCATTTCTAATTTCAGCCGTTTATTTTCGAGCTGAGGATCCATATTATCTTCGACACTAGCCTGCAATCAGAAGAAAGATATGGAAACGCCCGTGGGATGATTACCGAGTTCACTTCCTCGTGTAAGCTTGAGTGAGATTCAGCTATTAAACATAGCAATGGAAACGCTAAGTTTCATCAAGCTAGAAACACACACACACACACACACAACCAATTTTTTATTTTATTTTTTAATATAACTGCTAGCTAGCCAGGGAGACAAAGTACCGAAGACTTCTGGACATGCGTAACCCTAAATTTCTAATTAAATATTAAAGCATGCCAAAGAATTACCTCATATTTGATTCATGTTGCATTCACTAAACAGCTGAGGAGTATCTTTAATTAATTAATGTGAGATTCTCAACTTGCATATCTCACAACCACTCGTACGTGATTTCTTCCACGCTGATTACTTATTAATTAGTTCTTTTATGATTTAGTCTTAATTTAGCGATCTGAATGAGGCTTCACCAAACTTAATTAAGGCAAACAACTCTCTATATCTTACTCAATAGGGGAAAGAGGGAAAGCTTCGCCAAACTTAATTAAGGCACACAACTCTCTATCTTACTCAATAGGGGAAAGAGGGAAAGCCATGACCTTTGCTCGGGTTTGATAATCTTGTTGTGGTGAGAAGAGAGGAGCTACCCTCTCCTTTTGACATAATGAGCCCATGAAATGGATGACACAGAAAATTGGATGTCAAACAAGATTCCAGCAGTTAATTGCCACCACTTAGCTAGCTCAGATAATTTGATCTAGATTCTTGCATGTATAATGTGGTGATCATCGGCAAAGTGAAAAACGCAGGAGGTAAGAAGAAACACTCACTACTTGCTTCGAAAGCACATCCACGACTACATTTTGCCTCTGAAGCTGGGCCTTCTGTTGGCGAAGTTTATTCTGTAGCAGTGTCATTTCGTCTTTCTGAGATTACACCATCTCTTGCAGCTGAACTTCTTCCCTTTTGAAGGAGGCATTCTCTCTATTTAATTTCTCATTTTCTTCAGTGAGCTCAAACAATTCTTGGTCATTTTTCTTTTTATTTTCCTGCATGATATTTGATCAAAACAGAAGAATTACAGAAAAAATCTAAATAAAAAGATAAGAAGAGACACAATCAGTTAACTACCCTGCATCGTCGCCGATATGCCCTGTCGATCGCTCTTTTCTTTTCACGATCCTTGGGAGTTTTAGGAGCTTTTCTTTTCAGCTTAGTATGGGCAGTAGGAGACTCTCCAGGTAGAGGTGATAGGCACTGGCCGATTGGAAATGGGTTCATTCCATAGCCGTCGGCGGTTTCATCGAGTGTAGATTTGTTTATTCCAGCTGCGATTAAAGTTTAGAAGAATAAAACCCTTCAAAAAGACCGCCTTTTATTTTATTTTTTTTATAACCTAACAAAGGAATACATTAGGAACAATGGAGAAACCCATGGCGAGAGAGAATGAACATACAAGGGCACCTCAAAGCAAGAGCAGATAAAGAAAACATAGGGAAAAGAACATAAAAAGCTAAGCATGAGAAGGTTCAAAATCGAAAGGTTTCCCATAAAGATAAAAGCATCATTGTAACAAAGATCGAGTAAGAGCATCAGTAATCTTATAGAGAACAAGAAACAGAACATACTTCTCTGTCACATAAACAGATATTCAGATATGATTATGTAGTCTGACGCGAATACAGGTTGACTCTAACTAGTTCCTGGAAAATAAAGAACAGGACGTAGGGAGAACTAATTACAGTTCATATGCTGTACTACTTTGGTTTTCTCCTAGTCGGTAAAATCAATGCTTGGGAATCAACTTACTTCTATCAAGCTGAGGCGTCATATCTAACAGTTCAGCCCCTCCTGTCCAATACAAATTGCGCTGATCCATTACCTTCTACTTGTAGAAAATTGAAAGCAAACAGAAATCAACTACAAAATTGGATACAACCATGCAAACAAATAGGAGAGAAAATACTTCTTACGTCTCCGTCCCAGAGATCTAGAAGGTCAGTTTATTTATAAGGTCATGGAAGCATGACGAAAAAATATTTCAGGTAAATTGTGCGAAAACGAACGATATAGAAAGAAACCGGGCGCGCACGACATGCTTGCATCATGAAGATATCGAGTCATAACCATGACAAAAACAATCGTGCGATATATGTTCCACTGCCTTTCGTGTCGAGTTTTTTGGAAGTAGGTTATTTTCTTTTATTGCTATAAATTCGAGTTTTGCTGTGCTCGTTTTTTATTTTGTGGTGTCTTTTATATTTATTGAGTTTATATATATTCAATGAATTATAAAAATTAATTAGAAACTGATTCAAACACTCTATATAAATTAAAAAAAAATGATTCTTTTGTATATAAATTAAAAAAAAAATGAGTCTTTTGATAAAAAAACTCGTTTACATAAATTTGATTTTTGATATTTATTATTTTTATGGTGTTTTATATAGGAGTTTTTTGAAAGTAGCTTATTTTCTTTTATTGTTATAAATTATAAATTCGAGTTCTGCTGTGCTTATTTTTCATTTCACGATATTTTTTATATTTATTGGGTTTATAATGTATTTAATGAATTATAAAAATTAATCGTGCTCTGAATCAAACACTTTATATAAATTAAAAAAAAATTCTTTTGATCAAAAAGACTACGGCACTCTTTAAGCATAATTTTTATAAAATTAAATAAAAATTCAATGCATGACGTTTCCAACTAGTACTCTTGCTGGCAGCTCGTCTCTCTTAATTTTGAAAGAAATGCGCATTAAGAGACCAAAAATTATATTTGTAAATAATTATTTTTTTATATTAAATAAATAAAGTTAGATAACCATCAAGCTCTAGGAAAAAGAAAACACAGAATATTGATATACAAAAGAGAGTAATTGTTTTTCTTAACCGAGCTTATTGACAATAAAAAAAACCTTTTCATAAATAAATCAGTTAGTTTAAATCAACAAACATTTCTCCCTTCAAAAAACGAAAAGAAAAGAAAAAAAACCCTCCCTCATTTCAACTTGAAATAACGCCAACCATATAACAAATTACAGTGCCGATCAAGTGATCCCATATTTCATTGCAATCGTATAGTATACCAAGAGTGTGAACGGGTTTTAGGAGTACCTGTCTTTTTTCATCATAGAAAGAGAGGCTTGTGGGTAGCTTTTAATTATTGGAGTACTGGGAGTCGCTTTCTTACTGCTGCCGGTGCGGGCGTAGTTGGCACCGAGTAATATTCAATAATGTGTGTAGACATGATGAACGTCGTATTGCGAGGCCCATGAGGACGTGATCGACAACGTGCGAGGTGAAGCCTAATTGTTAAACAAGGTGATCAAAGCTCCAATACTTTTCTTAAAAGCAGCAGCAGCAGCATGAGCATGAGCATGGTATTCCAATTTGCCGTTTCTCTAATTCTGCAGCAAATTAAATCAACTGCAAGGCCACTGATCAGTGTTTCGAAATATAGTGACAAATCTGGATCCCGTTTTAGGATATGTTCCAAGGTAACTGGAATTATGCGCTCGAGTATTGTAATGGATTAGGGCATGGTTTGTACAAAATTGTTGGTAAGCAGGCTGAAAGTAATTATGCCAAGTTTCAAGATGGGGTTCATCACGTTAAGAAAAGTGGACAGCTTGGATTTATACAATTCTTGAGAGTAATAACTTAGAAAGTAGATATCCCTAATACATGAATGCAGATCTAAATTAACAGTTCTTATTAATGGTTCATCGAGCAAGGAGTTTGGAGTGGAGTGTTAATTACGTCCGCGCGCCTCTCATCATTTCTGTTTGATATAGCAGTAGAACGTTTAAATCTGCTTGGTACCCAAAAGTCCTAAAAATATGGATTTAGAAGATTTGATGAAATTACAACATCTTTGGATATAATGAATTCATAAAAATCACTGATTAAATATATTATATAAACCTTCTTTTACTCTAAACGTCTAACCTATTTTTTCCTTAAAATGCCCTTACAATTAAAGTATAATGATTTACAAATATTAAGAACATTTTAGGTATAAAATATAATATTTATAATATCTTATTAACTAACCTTATGAACGTTTCAGAGTTTATATTATAATTAAATTAATGCATAGATGAATAGGCGCATCACTTTCGATCCATGATTATACTTTTGGATCTCACTTTGCTCTAGCCCTTGGTATCATCATCACTAGTTTTAATTAAGTTTTCATGTCTTCAATTACGAGAGATGTCTTGATAAGAAAAGAAAAGTATTCACATCATTACTTAATATTCGAAAAGCAAATCAAAATATAATTCACTGATTCTAAAACCGTGGAGAGTAAAAAATGAAAAAGACAACACATTGGTCCCCTTGATCGTCACTCGGATCTGACATTGTTCATTTTCGAAAAGCAAATCAAAATATAATTCACTGATAGATCGATCAAAGCTCCATCTTTGGTTTCGTAACATTTAACTCTTTTACCAGGATTCAAATTTTGGTGACAGTCGTAAACCATCATATATAAATTCATAATTTCCTAATTAATAGCATCGGTGCCATTAATTAGTTCTTGAAATTTAAAAAAAAACATTTATTCCATGAAACTGTCCAATTACTATACCACTCCATATAAAAACCTTGTACGATAATATTAAAATTAATATTTAAAACCTCAACTATCTTATGTTTTAAGGAGTGTTTAAAAATATGATAATAAATATTTTTAATTTTTTTTATTTTAGAATACATTAAAATATTTTTATTTTTATTTTTTTAAATAATTTTTAATATCAACATATCATAATAATTTTAAAATATAAAAAAAAATATTTTTTAAATTAAATTTTCATAAGATACAGTTGGGAACGCAATTTCTCGCAATCTCTTGGGTTCTAGATAAAGATTTTTTTGGGGGGAGATAAAATAGTTAGGAAAAAAGAAATTAAATTTTAAAACAAAATTAGAAAAAAGAAGGGGAACTACATCTGCAGCTCAAATCAATCCAGTCTGGAAAAACAAATCTATGAAATAACGATTCTTAACAACAATTTTTCGTCATCAGTCTCAAATTAAGGTAACTGTCAATAAAGAGTTGTACCTTACAGGGTGTCGTTCAGATTTGCATATATTCTGACAGAAAAGCATGGATGTTTTGTCTGTCCGAGCATCCTGTTTTCTTTTTCGAAAATCATCCTCTCGTCCAAACCAAACGTTGTCTTAATTTACTGTGCTGCATGTATCATGTCATCCTAAATAATGATTTGCAAAGTTAATACTCTCATCAATGCAGCGTCAAGACATCTCTGATATATTATTAACTTGACTTGGCTCCCATAAAGCTGCTTGATGCAACTATTAATCATGGAATTCTTTCTTCCCTTGTTAATGATCCGTTTTCAAACCTGGACCTTCGGCGTTTTCTACAGCAAACATCTTCAATATTTTGTACTCCTCTTTCCTTCCCCTTCCTGATGATTATAAATAAACCAAGATAAGCATAGACGAAGGGAAAAATTCTAGCTAAAGACAGATTCAAAACATATATATTCACGTACCCATAATAATGTCAAGACCGGAACAGCTGGTAGCACCAGCAGAAATATTCATAGCTTCTGATGAATAGCATCTGAACTGGGCGGCTGAATGCATATTGAGGGTTTACTGGTGAGATGTGGTTGTGAGGAATCAGGGGCGAGCTGATTTCTCTTTAAAATGAAGGTAGTATCAATCATTGACGAAGACTACACAAAGCGCTGCCTTGTTTGACGAGGTCACTGCGGTACCATGTGAAACACAACCCTTTTAACCTGTTGTTGACGACTTGGTTTTATTGACCGATAAATTTTTATAGATCTTATCGGTTGATATTAGATAAATTTTTAAAAAATCTTATCTAAAAGAAATTATAAATGGCCAATAGGCTACTATTAAGAAAATATGGAGGGCTTTTTTTTCTGCCTATAAGAAAAAAGGACGAGCACTCTTTTTCCCCCAACCCCATTTATCAATTACAATAACTTTAGATGGAGTATTCTTACAATTTGTGATGGAGTCATCCTCAAATTCAAATTCAAAAAAAAAAAACCTGATCCCATTGTTTTTCATAAAAAAATAAATTTACAAGAAATCAAATTACCAAAAACATCCTCATTTTTCACAACTGGTTCTAATTAACCCATAAACACCACATCAGCAAATTGATGTCCCTTTTAGAAGAAATTGCCTCTCAATATCCTGCATGAACACACAAGCACAGTCATCGGTATGAGCCCTCAGTAAAAAATCTTGAGGCCAACAGTTCTCTGTTGCGAATGGCTACTGCACTAAAAAAAGAGGGAGAGTGGCAATTTCAGGTACAAGATCACTAATCCAATATATAAACAACTTCCTTGTAAGTTTATAGAAATCCAAACATTTAGATGCATGACATGACAGACATTCTAGACATTTCATTACAAGTCTCTTAAAACTGTTTCAATTTGATGTCTTTACAAGTTTCATAATAAAAAAAAGAAGTTTATCAAATCACTTATTTCAAAAAATGAAACCAACAAAGCAATGACTACCGCCATTGTCAGCAAAGCCACCTAAATGTCGTGAAAATTTTCCTTCTGTCAAATTTCTTTTTGAACTTGTGGTTCCTGATTTGAGCACTCGAACACATGAGAGAGAGAAAAGTAATGGAAATGATAGAGCTAGGAAACCACGTATGCTTACTGAGAAACTTGGCAAAAGGAAACTACATAAATTCATTTAGCTAACTCTTGTACGAGAACAAAGTTTGCAAGCATTTTTTGCGTGAAACTATGCAAATAATCCTTGCAAAATATTTAATGGTACCTTCTCATGCTTCCTCCTGTAGTCTTTTTGGTTCAGTATCTAGTCACCTAAAGCTTGATTTTGCATGTTGAGCACCATATTCCGCTGTCCCATTTTCTCAATCTCATTCAAAAGTTGTATTCTTTCAGATGCCCAATTATCCCACTTGGCATTTTGACACAACATATTGCGTTCATTTTCTATCAGCACCATCTCAAGCTGGTTAGGTCCAAGCTACAACAGTAAAGAAAGCATTGTCATCCATAAGTTCACTAGCTTTGTAAAGAAAGCATTGTCATCCATAAGTTCACCAGCTTGTTACAGGTAGAAACATTTGCAACCACAATTTTACCGAGAATAAAAAGATATGCCATGACTATCACTGTAACCGGTATTTAGCTATACAAAGAGGACGCAAAGTAAATCAAAGGATTTGTTCAATAGAAACAAAATCAGTATGTGATTTGCCACACAGTATCATTATGGCTAATCAGTTACCTAGCATTACAAAAAAAAATCATCTTACATCAGAATGTGAGTGTGATGGAAACACTAGAACCTCGAGCTATATTCAAACTTCAACTAACTACAGATGCATCAAATGTTAGAGTTGAGCAGATAGTGAAAATAGTCCCAGATAGATTGGCATGGCTGCACTAAAAACCCAGGGCAATAGAGACTAGACTAAAACCCTGAAACCAAACTCATGGAACTAACACAACTCATAAGATTCATCTGATTTACAAATATGTAAAGAAAAATAGAATTAACATTACGGAGTACAAAACCTCTTCATCCAACTTACCTTTTAGAAATGTATTCTTAACATTGACTTGCCTGATTAGGCATCATCGTAACGATAGAAAGACAAGGATATATACAGTATGCTTGAAGCCTAGCTACAAGCCCTGAAGATTTAAGCAAAGTGATCAATAGCTTCCTATTATGTGTAATTGGCTGCAAATTTTATAATCTCTTCTTTTTTTCAGAAATTTTGCGCAACGAAGATAAAGGAATACAAATTATAAAAAGATCTTGGGATTTAAGACAAAAATCAAACACAAAGCTGCAAAGATTGACCCAGCTTTGAGGAAGATGGAAAAAAAGGAATTCAACTGGAGGCACTTCAAGTCAGCAACTAATTAAGAATTTTAGTGAAACTCAACCAAAAAAAATTTCCATATCCAGCTAGAGCAGAAGGGATGGACATGGTTGCACAGGATAGCAGTAAAGATGAAAACCAACGAAGTAAGACCACAGAAGTGATACACAAGAGACGGATAGACTGAACCAAAGCAAGAGACACGCAAAAAACCACGTAACAGTACCGCACCATCTTATAATTTAATATAATCCTCAGCTTTCTCCTTAATTTTATGACAGATCAACATCCATCAACATTCATGAATATATCATCATGATCACCGATATTTGTAGAGATGCTAAAGTAATACATACAGATTCACCAACAGCCATATAACTGAACTGAACCAAGGAGGCAGTAAGGCACCAATTGTATCTTAAATTTAATGATATCCTCGGTATTCTCCTTGATAATTTATGATGGATCAACATCCATCAACATTCATGGGTGGATCATCACAGATTTACATAGTTAATATAAGTAATAGTTAGAGATTCACCATTAGCTTTTAAGACTAATCACCAATTGACACTTTCTTCATATCTAGCTATCAACTACTCATTAAAAGTTTTGTCTCGCGTAATCTGAAGAATTCAACAAGCCTAAATGAGGCATATTAATAAGTATGCCCAAACAGCAACAGTGTAATACCAACAAATAAATCAGCTCAGCCTAGATGAATAATTTTAAGGGGATTGGTGCAAGAAAAAAAGGAACACCCGCACACATACATGCATGCATACACATACACATACACATACACATACACATACACATACACATACACATACACATACACATACACATACACATACACATACACATACACATACACATACACATACACATACACATACACATATACATACATGTGTGTGTGTGTGTAGAGAGGGAGAGGGGGAGAGAGAGAGAGAGAGATGCACCGTTAGTTGTTGCACAAAAGGGTTATGTGACAGTGTCTCCAACAGATTTTCTTGATTAGAAATGACTTTCTTTGAGTTGTCAATCTCTCTTTTAAGGTTCCCTATCTCAACTTCTTGTGACTGCAATTTTTGAACCATTGAATCATTTTCTTTCCTACAAGACTCATTCTCCCTCTTCAAATTAGCATTTTCTTCCCGAAGAATTTGCAAGTTAATCCCCAACTCTTCTTTCCTTATCTTCCAAAAAGAAATTAAGAGATATATATAGAAAAAACATGATTTCTCTGGCTATTTGCCTCACATGAGGAAGACCAGAAGGTACAGTGCTATACCTTACAACGTTGTCGATAATCGGCATCGATTTTTCTTTTCTTCTCCTTTCGATCTTCTGGAGTACTTACAGAAATATTTATTCCATGCTGTGGTACTCCTGGTTGGGCCAACATATTTTGAGGCACTGTCAGCATGTTTGCTTCCTCTGAGCCCATACAACAAATTCATCTTAGTAACAGTACAAAAAATTCTCTATGAATAAACGTGAACTGCCATCAAGCAAAGTAATTTGTGAGATGTATTTGTTAAAATTGCGAGCAAACTACCACTAAGCATGAACATAAAACGAGCACGCATTCATTCTTAAGCCTCAAAGTACATCTTTCCATTAATGATAGGATGGTTACGGTAAAATGAAAGTATGAAAAGGAGAAATGATGGATTTTGACCCATCCGTCTTGTTATTCCCAAAACATGGATAAGCAAAGGACAGATTGTAAATTACAAGCGAGGCGTAGGGAAGGATCCTTTATTTCCTTCCTCAGTTGTTCATCCATCATACCAAACATAGAAAAAATCAAAAACCCAACAAAGAAGCTTGCATGAGAAAAGTGGAAACAGGGTAACCCCAGATATGATCAATCATTGAAGATAATATTAACTATGTCAACTGACTATGTTTTCCCTTTCATAAAGCATGTGCAAAATTGAAGATAATATAAAAGAAACAATTGACAAGTCTTTTCGCAGATCCAACAACAATTGTAAGTACAAAAGTAGTTACCTGTTGAGTCGTGTTGTCGTGGGGGGTAGTGGAGAACCATGTCATCCAGTAAACCGTAAGTCATCTTCATCGGAAATTCCAGAACCTATGATTGTGTATAGAAGAAGTACCTTTAAATAAAAGAAGAAAAGTCCGCTGGGTAATACATATGACACATTGGAGTCGCGCGATAGATTCTTCGAATTGTAAAGAAAACGCTGGGTAACGGCCGGTTCTTCTCTTCCAAGTTTCTCTCGGAACTGTTTAAAAGTGTAGTTTAAGTCAATTTTTTAACTGTTTTTATTTAGAAATATATAAAAATAATATTTTTTTATTTTTTAAAATTTATTTTTTATATCCACCCATAATAAATAAATAAATATCTTAAAAAAAGAGGGGTTAGACCTTAATTTAATTAGCAATTAATTAAATAGTTGTCTGGATATTAGTAAAGTAGATTAGGGTTATTCATCTCCTTTGCTTTAGGCTTATTTGTCGTAATGTCCCTCAACTTAGCCCTGTATCCATTAAACTACAAATATCCCAAAACTTCACCCCCAAACCCTAAGAATCGAATTACCTGAAGATGCGTGTTCAAGAGCCCAGGCCATGATAAGCATTCAATCAATTTTTACAAGCATCGATCGGCTCTAGAAAATTAAGAGCAAAAAACATTTACAAATTTAAGCATGCCTGCCCAAATTGACACACACACACTCACACACAAGAGATATGCATCGTTGATGAGTTATAAAGAGAATAAGAAAAATAAAATAAACTTAACTCGTAACATGTATGTTAGCCCTACTCGGGTTAATATTAAGTTGTATTCTTTTATATATTTTTTAAGAATTTTTTTATACACCCTCTTGCTATTTTTTATTGTAAAAATACCCCTTAAAACATCAAAAGAAAATAATATTTTTTTAAAAATAAGTAATAAATTAATTTTGACAAACTTAAAAAAAATTGAAAAATCCAAAAAATATAACAAATTAAAAAGAAACCTCGAAACTTTTTAAAACCTTGAAATGTATAAAGTTGAAACATATCAAGAAAATCAATATATAAAGTTGAAACACATCAAGAAAATCAAAACAATTCCAAAAAATATAAAAGAAACATTAGTAACTAATGAAAATCTTGACAAAACATGTCTTCCAAACTTATTTCGTTGCTATAGACATATTTCTATTTACGAGGTTTTATAACATGATTTTCTCATCTTTTAGATTTTACAAGTTATTAATTTTTTCTTAGATTTTTTATTTTGTTATAGATTTTTTAGTGTTTTTAATTTTTGTGGCTTTTTTCTAAGATTTTTTCATATTTTCAAAAGTTAAATATTTATTTTTAAAATATTTTCAAAATTAATTTTTTGTTTTAATGGTTGTAGTGGATTTTTGTCTAAAAAATTGATATAAGTAGCATATACATATGAGAAAATATGAAAATATAAAAGCATATGAGAATGATAAAATCTTAAAAAATACATATAAAAGAATGCGCCCAGTATATAAAGTTGGAAAGATGAATTAACCCGCCCTTGTTTTGTATAAATGCATTCAAAATATTTGCTACTTTTATAGGGTTTTCAACTTATTTTTTGGTTTTTTTTTCAGAATTTTCAAGTTTCATCACTTTTTTAAAATTAAATTTTCATTTTTATAGATTTTAAAAATTAATTTTTCTGTTGATGATTTAATGAATATTTCTTATTCAAAAATTGATAAAAAAATATGTTGGAGAAAATATGAATATACAAGAGTTAAAAATTCTTAAAAGAACATGTGGAAGAATACTGAATGTATAAAAATAAGTAGTAGATCCATTCTCTCTTAAATAAAGGGCATGGTTTTCTTGGTTATGACAGGTAACTGAATTCTTTTGGATTTTGTTGTTGTTTCAATTTTTAATTATATTTTTTTTTTGTTAAAGTTAATATTTTGTTCATTTTCTTAATTTATCTTCCCCTTTTTTTCTTTTATAGTGTTGTACAAAATCTAGCGATGAAGTTAATAGTGGACGAAGTTGCAAGTGTTGATACTAGCGCCTTGATTGTAATAGAAAATATTCTATTTATTTTATATTTAAAAAATATCTTTTAAAAAATAAATTTTGTTTTTTAGATTTTAACAACCACACACTATTCATTGGTGAACACTCACTTTTCACACGTAAGTTTTTTTATAAGACATGATATAAAAAGTCTAAATAAATATAGATTTGGTATACCAACTTCAACGTTTTTAGACTTGGTTGCACACCAGGTTTAATTAAATATAGATCTAACAAATAACCAAACTTATTATCCTTAGATATGGCTGGGGGTCAAGCTCAATTATATAAAAGTTTGGCGAGACCTTCTTATCTCATTAATCCTGGACTTGGTTATATGTCAAGCCTAGTTAGACATGAATATAGCGTAGTATAAGACTTGACATCCTTAAACTTGATTACATGCAAAGCTCAATTTGATATGAGTTGGGGGTGCCACCAGATTCGATACCTATAAACTCAGCTATATACCAAATTCAAGTATATATAAGTTTTGCTTGTTGTCATGTCTATTGATTATGGGCTTGACAATGTGCCAAATACAAATATAAACCCCTAAAAAAAATCTATGAAATTAATTAGAAAAAAATTATACTAATTGATTTACATAAATAGTTATTTTATGGGATAATGATGGATGAGAGAAAATGAAATAAAGGGTTTATGCATGGGTTCTGTAAAAAAAATAAATTATAAAAAATATCTGAAAAATAAAAAATAAAAAATACGAATTAAAACCAGATAAAATAAATAACTAATAAAAAAATTATGGTGGAATGTAATGAAATTTAATATGCCTTGATTTAAGTTTAACATGGTTGGCCATGGATGTGTTAATTATTATTTTTATGGGTATGAATGAAAGGATAATACTAAAATTAGTAAAAAATGCCAAGGATAAAATTGATTCAATCTATCAATAAAAGAAGTCCGTCATCAATAAGCGCGAGTCTATAGAAAAATATCATAGAAATGAGGCCTTTACCTTTCAAATTCAAGGATAAAATTGATCCAATCCATCAATAAAAGAAGTTCGAAATGAGGCCTTTACCTTTCAAAGTTGAACTTATTCATTTGCCCCTTTTTTTTCACTTTATTTATATCATTGTTCTTTTGAGCTGAAGGTATAAAACTCTTGCATCTATTCTGAAAAGAAGTAAATTCTAATTAGTAATTTAGAAGAAAAAAAGTAGAAATTGAAAAAATAACCATGCAGCAAAAAAAAAATTTCTAATTGAAAAATCCGAAACAAAGGGAGAATTTCAGACGCGGCCTGCCATGAAAGAATTGGGATATCCATGTATTGACTAGACAGGTGATAAAACAAAGAAAGGACAAAAATGATACTATCCTTCTAAGTTAACAGGATAAACCGGGGAAGAGGCGCCTTCAAAATACAATTAAATATTAAAATAACACATGATAAATTTTTTTATGAGACAGTACACTTTAAAAAATATCATAGTTAAAAAATGTGAGATATAATATTATTATATGTTATGATAACATTAATAAAAAATTATGTTTTCAAATAGAAACATACTCAAGAAGATTGTTTTCATAAATGAATAGACATTTAATAAAATAACTGAACTAGAGTTAAAATAATCAACTCATTTTAATTACCATAAGATTTTGAGTTATTTTCATGTTTTAAATTTAAAAGTATTTATAAAATTATAATTTTTGTTAATTTAAAATTGTATACTTAGACAAAGAAATTTTTATATAAAAATTATACTCAAAATTTTTTCTTCCTTAAAAAATTTGTAAAAAATTATAATAACAGCAATTAATAAATTCCAACTAAATTCATTATATTTTTATATCTAATAATCACAAGTCGCTTAAAAATATAAAACAATATATATATATATATATATATACATATAAAATAAATATAAAATAATTTAATAATATAATATTAAAATAAACTCAAAATTTATAAATATAATTTATCTAAATCTATGCCGTTTCATTTGATGGTTCGAACTTTTCAGTAATATGATTAAATTCAGCTGTCATGCTTAATTAATATCGTGTTTTAAAAACATTTTATATAATTTTTACATTTTAAAAACATGATATTTAGTAGGTATTATATTTTAAAAATATAATAAGGTTAAACTATATTATTTTATTAATTTTTTGAAAAAATTATATTATTCCTTCGAATTTTTAAGTTTACTTTGTTAATTTTTTTTATAAAAAACTAAGTTAACGCTGCTAAGATACGATACTTCGAGTTCTTAAAAATCTTCAGTACTTTAATAAATTGGAGCATTATCGTTCGGTACGAACATGTCACCATGTGCTTGCGCTCTACATCGTAAGAGCTCCAAGTATGAACATAAAGTACGGACAGTGCTAGCACCATACTTGTACTAGCATTGCTACCTTCTCTCTCTCTCTTTATTTTTATCCATTACTTTCTTTCTTTTTCTTTTTTCTCTACCAACCCTTCTGGTCAAAATAATCTACAGAAAGCCTCAACAAAAAGTTAAAAAATTATACATTTAAGCTGTGAAATCATATGATTTATCTAAATCCATGACATTTATTAAGTGGTTGGAACTTTTCAGTAACACGACCAAATTTATCTATCACACTTAATTAATACTGTATTTTAAAAACATTTTATATAATTTTTATATTTTAAAAATATGATATTTAGTAGATATTATATTTTAAAAATATAATAAGGTTAAATTATATTATTTTATCAATTTTTTTAAAAAAATTATATTATTCCTTCAAATTTTTAAGTGTAGTTTGTTAATTTTTTTTATAAAAAAACTAAGTTAACGCTAGTAAGATACGATGCTCCAAGTTCTTAAAAATCTTCAGTATCTTAATAAATCGGAGCATCATCGTTCGGTACGAACGTGTCACCATGTGCTTGCGCTCTACAACGCAAGAGCCCCAAGTCTGAACATGAAGTACGGACGGTAAAAAATAACTTATCCCATTAAAATTGATCGAAAACTAATTTATTTATATCTTGACATTGCTACATATCTTTTAAATACTTGGTCTCAAGCTTTGAAAAGCAAGCAGAAGTTTTCAAAAATCTTGGAAGACCATAGTTTTGCTTGTTGGACCGACGCTTGCTGGGCCATTAGAGATGAGGTGGCCCGTGAATGGTACGGCGCGAGACATGAGACGATTTGACAGCGAGATAGACGAGCTCTCCAAGGCTAACAAACGACGTCCTTGTTTCGCTCTTACATATGTTTTACGAATTCGAAGGATGTCGTGCGATATCCCTCGATTTCGCTCGACATGACCCAACTAACTTTTTCTTCAGTCTCCTTATATAGAGCAACACCATCTTGTCAAATTTACTAAGAGCTACCTAGCTGCCTTCTGCTCCAAAGGTTCTTATTGATTCAACTGTTTTGACTGTTCGTTAGTTATTGAGCCGGTTGGCTCATGAGCTTCAATTGCTTTTCTTTTTCTCCAGAAAGCCAGCGATGGATTACTATAGTCCGTGGCAAAATTTCCTTGAACATGAAGCATCTCTACCTCTACCTGCACCTGAATTTGAGGCTTATGAGGGTAAGTGTATTTCTTCCATATATCCTCAGAGATTTATTTCATTTCATCTTTGCTTTAGAAAGCCGATTGATCCATTTCAGCTGGAATACTTGGATCTAGCAAGTTCTATTGTCTTCAATTCCTCGCTACCTTGCTCATGACTGCGATTAATTCTTTATTTTCTCACCCTATATTTCATCTTTTATTATTACATCTGCTTCTCAAACCCACTAAGTATGCTGGTGAAGAAAGTACACGCATACATACATACAGGCGCGTGCGTTCACACACACACACACATACCAATACATCTTTCGGTAAATACCTGCTTCAAGAGTCTTGGTCCTTTATGTACTTAAAACACTGAGGGAGGAGCACCATACTCGTCGTCGACAGAATTTGAAACCGATCAGAAGGGAAGGGGAAATCAGCAAGCCTTTAGCTACTACTTGGCAGCAGGCCCAGGTAGTCCTCACCAGTCTTCAAATATAACGGATACTGATAAGAAAGGACAGGATCTGGAAGCAACTAAAGATCAAGTTGCAAAGAAAAGAAAGATTGACAGGGCATATCGTGAACGATGCAAGGTAAACACCATTACCTATCTATTTACTCTTTTGTTTTCCTTTTCCTTTATTAGTTTTTTCATTTGTTTTCCTTTTCCTTTATTAGTTTTTTTTTTTTTATTTTTAGTTCAAAGATCATGGCATCCAAGAGCATATGAATTGAATTTGTACGGAGATTTTCTAGAATGTTCTTGAACCCAAATTGATCTTAGAAATCCAGTATCGCGAAGGGAGATAATTCCAATTTTTTTATTGTTCCTAAGGTCTGGCCGGTCATTTGACGAAGTAGTGAAAGAAAAATAGAAAAAAACAAAAAATAGTTGAGAAATCCTTGATCTTGCTATATAACCTCTTGGTAAATTAAGGGTACAATTCAACAATAAAAACTAGATTTATGCGTGTTTTTGTCAAAAAATTCATTATTTAGACTCATCCATTTGGTCCAATAATTGTATTTATATAATCTAATTATAACAAATTCCAATCTAACAACTTGAATTCCATAGAATCATTTAAATTGGATTTTTCTTGGATTTAGACTTGTCTATTTGGCCCATAAATATATCTGCTAGATATCAATCTAAACATAACAAATTCATATCTGAAAAGTGAAATTCCTCATAATCTCCTACATGATTATGAAATGTTCTTTATTTTAAAATGCATTGAATAGTTTGTAATTTTACCATGTCATCAAAAGTTTGTCTCAAAACAGAACGAGAAGTCATCAATGGTAGCAGTTATACAAATTATAATAGTAATGATTTTTTTTAAAAGCCTAGACTCAATTATTTCATCAAGGAAGCAAAATTATTGTATCATTAATATCAAATCAAAACCAAAAAATATAATCTAGCCAACAAGACAATGAATAGAATCAAAATAGAACAATAACCATATGTATTATGTTAATGCCATATAGAGCATATATAATTGCATTTGTATGCTGCTTTTCCCAACTCTGGTGTTCTTTTAATGTTTTAGCTTATATTAAAAAACCATACATGATTGCAACTTTCAAGAAAATTTATAGACATATGCATCTATAGTATAACACTAAAACAAGATCAATTAACAGAAAATCACGTCTACAAGAGGGAAATTGATATTTCCCAAAAACTCAAGGTGCACATTTTTTTTAATAAAAAATCAGCATTTTTATAGGCTCTACCATATATTTACATTTAAATTACGAATTGCCATGCATATGGACAAACTATTATCTTATTTATCTACTGACAAGTCCATTAACCAATAATAGCACAACATTTATCCTTTTATCTATCAAATGACAAATTAATTATGAATCCAGTTTTTTCTTAAAATTCTTGCATCATGAAAATTTTTTCTAAATAATATGTAAAACGATGGAAGGTATATATGCATATATGTAGTACCAAACCCCATTCCAATGAACTCGTAGCTCAATTGAAACTAGTGTCTCCTCTCTCATTTAAAAAATTTAACGCTCCAACCTCTCCTTTATATATATATATATATGCTCCCTTTTTAAATGTGCTTAAATTCTAATTTGATTGTGGGTGCAAATTGTTAATATTTTAAATTTATGGACTTGTAAAGAAACATGCTAAAAAAGGTTATGGTAGTATAATAAAAAAAATAATTGAAGTGAGAATAATACTTCCAAATTGAAAAAAGTTGTAGAGAAATTCATATAGAAATCTCAATCACTAAAATTATGGCTACCTTGTTTTGATTTACATATATGTTTTGTTCAGGTTGGCCTCCTTTAGGTAGTCTAATGTGCAACATCAACCTTAAGAGGAGGGTGTTGCTACAATTGAGGTGCCTTTTTTTATTCATGAGTAGGTTCAACGGAACTTAACTACCATCAGTGGAGGATTGCGTTCCCCTATTATATTATCACTGGATGGGGCTTTGCTGCCTATTCTTTTTTTTGTAATGTGCAGATGTAGGGCTATTCATTAAGGTTTATATCTTAGTCAATACATGTTTACATCCATTTTAATTATTAAATTAATGACTACAGAAGAATTATCAACCAAAAATGCTAGTTAGGACAAATAATCGCCCCTATACAGGTGAGCCTTTTAGGCTCTGCACTTAAACTTAGATAAAAATCATGGTCTCTATGCGAAAATGAATTTAAGGAAAACGTGGATGGGTAATTTGAATAATCATAATCGTGTACTTGAAGCATCATGTTAATGGAAAAATATATAAAAAATAGTTTCAGTTTAATGATTTCCCCTAAAAACCTTAATGAGATGATGAGCAATTCTTCGTTCACTTGAAACATTGCTCTTTGAGTAGAAAACTGGATCTTTTCATTTTTCGTTCAGGTTCATTAAGGCAAAAGAACTGAGAAACTTTCACTTGTAGAGAAACAAAATGGAGACCGAGAGAAACTTGGAACTGCTAAGGAAAGAAAACGATCGATTAAAAGTAGAGAATGCCTCCTTTAAAACTGAAGCAGTTCGGACTAGACAAACTTTGCAATCTCGAGAACAAGAGATGAAGCGACTTAGCAAAACAATTGTTCTGCTGAAGGAGAAGCATGATAAACAAAATACTGTTGTGGAGGTCCTTTCAAAGCGACTAGTAAGTGTTTTCCTATTGAAAAATTAATAATTTGTTTTTTGATTATTAGTTCTTTTTCTGTAATAAAACTGAATATGAAGAGTGGCAGACCTCATTCACTAATGGGATTATTGTACTTTTCATAACATATATTTGAAGAGGAACCTTGCCGCTTTTAAATCTATTGATGGTTAATTACCCACACCCAAAAAAAAAAATTTGTGCATTTTCCATGCATCATTAAGTGAGGCATATTGATAATTTTCCCATCTGAGGGATATAAGTGAAATTCAAGCATTAAACTCGAAAGGATTTGTAGATATTGATGAAATCCATTAAAATAACAAGCACAAGAGTCCAGACCACTAGCTTGAATTCTGTTTCTGGCTTTCTTTTAATATGGAACTGCTGCTCATGAACTAACATGAAAAATGTTTATCTAGAAGATATTCTTATGAATTTACCAAACTAATATAAAAAATGCATCCTTAAAATTATTCAGGACGAGGATTTAGTCTCAGTTAACTTTGAAGCTAGTCTAAAGCCCCGTTTGTTTGCAGGAAAGTTGTTTCCTTTAAGAAAGTGAATTCCAGAGAAAGTGAATTCTGAGAAAAATGAATTCCTTAAAAGTAAAGTATTTTTCGATGTTTGACAGTGTTATGGAAAATGAACTGGAAAACATTTTCCAGTGTTTGGTTATGTTATGGAAAATGAACTGGAAAATAATTTATTAATATTTTATTTTTCTCAAGTTTATTAAAATAATAAGGAATAAATCTTACAAATTAAAAAGTTTAATAATAATAAAATTGAAAAAAAATAATTTCATAAATTATCTCAAATAAAATAAATAATAATCAAAATAATAAAGATCAAAT